TTAGTGTTTTCAGGTACATGTTGCAAAGTCTAGAAATCCATGTAAATTAAATTTACTCAAGTTACACCACAGTGTGCCATGGATTTTATATTTTTATACAGTACGTTTCCAAGCTTGTTAATTCACTTGTCATCTGAAACCTTCCATAAGTGTCAAACTCCAGTAGTAAACTAAGCTTTTTTTACGAAATGTTTTCTATTGCATCCCAACAGCCTTTGGTCAATGAACACAGAGTGAATAACCAATCAAATAATAAGGCTTAATGCAGTCATGACTGCAGTATACATTTCAGGTTGAACGTTGTTTAACAACAATATGCCATGCGTTACTGTTTTTATTGTATATTTTCCTGAGAATATGGCCCTCTCTTTGCTCCTCACAATTCGAGAGCTTATTATATCCAAGCAATTGTGAATAAAATCATTGAATTAAATATGAGTCTTATTTACTGTGTTGTTCAATTCAGTTTCCACGTTCATGATCTGACGTGATTCCTTTTTTTCACACTGGAACTAAAAGGGATTTCTCAGATTCATGTAGTACACGCTATTATGAAAGTGGTTCTCATAAATCACATCAGTAACCATCAGTTATTGCTATTTGTGCAACTTTTTGGTATTTTACAATGAGTACAGTGAGGCTCTAACTAATACACTGTAATCAGTGATAGAGTGTAGAGATAGCAAGCCATTTTAGGCATAGTTTTTGTAGCATTCTTACCTTCGTATCCCACTGACAAAGATCTCCATTTTCATGTCCTGTGATTATATACTGGTCTAGTGGTCCCCAGAGAGCAGCAGATACTTTTGGTCCCTCAATTGGAATATTCAGATAAGGCTCTTTTGATCCTTCAGACAAAAAGTACACGTACCCTAGTTATAGTTTCAAGTACAGACGTACACTGTACATGTGCTTATAACGTGTATACTGCTACCACTAAGGTAAATGGTAAGAGACAGAGTAATGGTCATAATATTTTTGGTAATGAGTACACCTTTGTGCAGATTTACGAAGTTTGCCAGGAATCTCCATACAATAATAAAAGTCACAACTAGTCATACATTGGTTGGATTTTATGAAACAATACAGTGCATAAGCTACATGTATGTGAGCAGCTTACCAATGATGCCACCAAAGGGAGGCAAAATTCCCCAAAATAAAAAAATTAATGAGGTCATGTTACAACATAATATTGTGCAATAAGTACCTATAAAAACTTAAATTTATCCAAAATTTAACCACTGTTTTCTTTAGTTTTCAAGGCAATGCTACACGAAATTAGTCGGTTTTTTGCCGGACGTGTTGTCAATAAGTTACATGTATGCCAAAAATTGCACTGCTTCAATGATTCTCCTGCCACGCGATTCTTGTCGCTCAGGAAATGAAAAGTGACTGGTAACTTACTTTTGAGCGGTACTGTACATTATGTAAATTATAGTTGCATTGTACAACTAATGACTAAACAGGACTTTATTACCCTGCTGTACAAGATTAGCATGCTCACCTTCTCTGACATCGTATAACATGAGAATGCATTCATGGCCCATCTGTCTGTCAGTTGTCATCATTATTTGTTTACCACAAAAAGAGAAGCCGCATGCCCTAACAGCGGTTTTTGTTTCATATTTGGATAACGTTGTGGCTGTTTCACAATCCCAGAATCTTAAGCTGTTATCAGCTGATCCTGAGATGAAATGCTTTGTTTCCCCTGAGGATAGGATGTCACAAGTTAAGGAAGTACAGCCATGTTTATGCATTGTTGCAAAATTCACTTAACCTATTAACAACGTTATGACGAATTGATAGACCTGACTACATGGGTCACATGTACACCTCTTTAAACCCCAATGAAAACCAACTAGAAGTTACCTCAGAAACAAACTCCTGGTCAACTAATTAATGATACAAATCTCTCTGATTGTTTTATTTCACACTTCATAACTGTACAATAAAACTTTTGTGTCCAATGTGCATGGGCTATAATTATTTATAATGGCTTGTCTTTGACTTACCATCATAAACAGCTACACTGCATACAGATTTCATGCACTGTAGGTCCTGTTTGCACTACAAAAGATTTTGATTGTTTTGCAAAAAAATCTGTCAACAGGAAGCCATTTCTAGTGCAAACAATTTTTTTCACCAACCAAACTTTTCTCGACTGTCACCAAACTACAAAGATGCTGTCAAGAACACGTGGAGGCCTGGCCTACAATTTTCTGTCAGGCGACAAAAATTATTTGTTCCTTGACAGCTATCCTTTCTTGGGCAGGGGCGGATCCAGGAAATTTTTATTGGGGCGGTCCAAAGTTTGGTTCAGAAAGGACTGTTGAACTTTTGTGGCAAATTACTTCTCCCTCACAACACCACACCTCCTCCCTCCATAGTGACTAACATTTCCCAGGAAATGGAATAAAAGCATAAAACAACTTATCATCAGCTTCCATGGCTTCAGCTTCTTCAGCATTAACTATTTGATTTTCAATTTCACTGGATTTGACTGGTTGATAGAAAGGGGCTGTCGGCTGAGTTGTCGTCGCCATAATTGTCGACCAGCTGAGAAAACAGAGACGGCCACGTGTTTCTCAATCTGTGAATGCCAGTCGCTGTTGAGATCAGAGGAAAAAAGGTCATAGGAGGATACCCAAAAACAATTACATTTTTGAATACCTTTGGAATTTAGTTCAGTTAGTGGCAAATGCAACACGCTCTTCATTACAAAAATCAGCTAGTTAAAAAGTGATACATGATCCTGTCTATGTACATTGTAACAATTTCAAACTTAAACAAGCGTCAGGTCTGATAGGGGGGTCTGGACCCCCTGGATCTGCCACTGCTCAGGTCATCTTATTTCAAGAACAAGATCAATTAAAGTTCCTTTAATTGACATTTCTGGTTATACAAAAATATTTCGCTTGTCTTAGATGTGAACAAGAATTAATGCGAAAACAAAAAAGTGGTTTTTACAAAATTTTCAATTTTTTTGCACACGTCAAACGTTAATTTTCGCCGTAGTGCAAACAGAGCCTTAATTTTATTTACCACTCACAATCATTTAGGATCGTTAATAAGGAAGTGATTGTCCTAGGTCAACATTCACCTCAAATGGTTGGTCAACAAACTGTAAACTTTTGTGAGGCCTGATGCAACTCTCCATCTAACTAAGCTAATTAAAACATTTAAATAAAAGCCCAGATGAAACAGATGTGTTCTGGATGTGATCGTCCGACACAACTGTATGACCAACCTACAGCTGTACATTTGTACATGCAGGTATTTAAAAAGGACCAGAATAAAAAAATTCAAATTTTAGGCTTTAACAAAATAATGTGCCCAATTTGAGGCCTGACATTGGATTGGTTAGATCATCAGGATATAGCACCGTGATTAACCACTGCACACCCTTGCAATCTGTAACTTGACGAAGACATACAAGTAAAAGCAGTAAAAATTTAGACTTTCCATGGCTATTATTACAAAGTAATTTCCTCAAGGATACAATCAACATCAATGCACCAAACAGCACCGCCATGGCCATTATAAGTACCAAGTCTTTCTCCATTTAATGAGTACCAGACATTTGGTTTTGTATCCTTTGCAGAGGAAAACAGCAAGTCACCATCTCTGTTGTACTTGATTTGTGTAATGGAACGCTCATGCCCATGCAGCATAAGAGGCTTCTGCTCATGAAAATACCAAGAGAATCAGGGTATTGTGATTTATTATATAGACACGACTGTTTTACTGGAAAATATACCACTCGTAAAATTCATAGAAAACTACATCCGGGACCCGAGTGGTTTATTTTCCATAATCTCACACGTGAGTTTATCGATGACGTAATTTCAGCCATTTCCCTCTATTATTTTATCGATGTCTTTTTGTCTATAATAAAGAAAAGAACATTACATGGCGACTTGAAGATATGAATATTATTTTCTCGTGGCAAAAACAATATTGTTTTCCCACTCGAAAATAAAATTCATATCTTCACGCCCCCGTGTAATATCCTCTATGTATTTTACAGTAATATTGTACCCACATCCATTTAAACAAACATATTCTTCGATTTATTTTCAAGGATTTTAACTCTGAGTACAATAACTTACTTAAAAAGGCAGGAACTGCAAACCTTAAGGACAAGCGTTTACAAAACATGATTCTTACTATTTTTAAATGTCTTCATTTTTCTGATTATCCAAGATATTTAAAAGATATGTTTCGTTTACGCTCTAGCACCTATTTGTTAAGAGGACATAATATGCTCTGTTTGCCCAAACCATTGACCACTTCTTATGGTATCAATTCCTTTACTTGGCAGCAACATCTTGGAATTCTCTTCCAGACCATTGCCGCACTATTTCTGATTTTACTTCTTTTTGACGACTGATATCTACTGGGAACAATAATTTACTTAAAAGGGCAGGAACTGCAAACCTTTCTATATCATGATAATTTGCAAGTTAGTTGTCTAGGTAGTTTGCTATCTTATTTTTTATATAGAATTAACTTTTTATTATAATTATTTATTAATGTAGTTGGCTCGAAGATATTAGCACTTGAGTGCTACACTGTTAATTCGAGGGTTAATAAAGTTTATTGATTGATTGATCCATTCATACCCATTTGATCCTTTTAGAGCGTATAAAATTGAATGATTTCCAGTGATTTTGCTACCTCTGCGTCCTGCGTTCTTGACGCATAAAATTCCCAAAGATGCAAAATAAATTCATGATATGCACCCCCGTTCCTTTTTAAATATTGAAACTTTATTGAAGAAGGTTTGACTTTTTTGGTTTCCTAAGAATATCCCCAGTCAGCATTGTCCTGGGAAAGACATTTTTTTTACATGATTTTACTGTGTAATTCATGTTTCCCAGTATTAATTGTGAATTTAACGTTTTTAAATCACTTTAACAAGACTTTCGCTAATTCTGGGTTAATTGAAATATTTTTGTACTTTTCAAACTGCTCCACATGCATGCTAGAGGGAGATTTTTCTGATTCAATTGAAACTGGATGCATTCTATTTGTCTTTCTACCGAACAAAATCGAACAAATCGGGTCAATTGAGATCGATTGGTTTAATTGAGTTCTGAAATAATTATTGAACTCACCGAAAAGTTCCAGTTTGATTATGTTCAAGTACCGAACCAATCAAAGAACAGTCTGACTGATTGTGTTTGATTGATTTTTGGTTCGGTTTCCTTTAATCAGCAACCCCAAGATAAAAAGAGTCGAGGAGAATAAACTTAAGGGAAAGGGGGTACAGCAGTTCATTTCACCGTGTACATGTACAAACGCCATTTTTCAGCAGCGGGGTTGAGTGGCAGTGTATTCTGAACTTATGACGTTTACTTGTAATCATGTTCAATAAATTAAAACATTTCACTTGCTTAAGATCAAACACAACGAGTAAAAATAACAACTGGTACAGTTCTATTTCGTTTTGAGTTTGAGCCGCTTGCTGCCATAAAAGGACGCGTAATTGCTATCTTGACTTTTAGTTTCATTGTAACACCATGAAAAAGCGCACAATGCTTGAAAAAGGAAGATTTCGTTCGAAGAAGATTTCAATACACTCAATGTACAAAGCACCGACGACCGGTGGGTTTGATGCTTCGTTCATTTTCAGCCTTAAGTCGAATAAAGAATCATCCACGTACCAAAAATCTACTTTTATAAGATAAAACATAGTCCAATAAGAGTTCTACTCACCATCGTTCGGTAATAAAAATCCCTAAAAGCGACCAAATTTTACCTAGACCAAATCCTCGGACTTAAAAGTTCTAAAAAGCACGTTGAACGTGACGTACTGGAGCCGTCCAACAAACCAGTCAGCTGGTCAGCGGATTGAAATGGGGTATCTACCTCGTGTAATGTTAAGAGTGTATACCAAGACCTAAACAAAATTTCAAAAAATCTCACTTTCAAAACGAGGCTAAGTGCGAGACCTTTGTTGTGAAAATGAGTTTTATTTGCATCACTGATGCCTCGCTTTGAAAGTGAGATTTTTTGGAACTCGGAAATGGCCTACACTCGACGCGCCAGTCCGGCTCCCTGAAAATGCATTTAACATCATTTTGCGCGAATTTAACCGCTTCTGTCGTCATCAAAAGCTTGCTTGCAGAGACTGGTTACAGGCGGTTTTCACGTATATCAAACCCTGAGATTCAGTTTTACTGAGAGCTGCAAAAGTATGGTTTATTAGGGCAAAGTCCAGCGAGTGGACCGGAGGTGGTGCCGGGTAGCTGGAAAAATCACCCCTTTACTCCCGTTATCGCCCCCTGTTTCCAGCATTGCTCTTCCAGGCTTTTCTCCTCGTACGTCTGAGCACATGACAGGATGCTTAAAACATTCGATGAATCTAAATTTTCTTTGAGATATTCTGTGCATTCATCGGAAAGTGAAGAGACCACATATTTCTTAGCCAAATATAGCACTCCCATCACATTACTTCCGCTTAAATTCACTTCATCGCTGTACATAAAGCGAAACAACTCCAGTAGACTTCCATAATCACAATCGGGTAGTTCAGTAGTGTCTTTGGTCTCCGCCAGGTCACCGTAAAACATTGCTTCAAACACCGGGCTGCCAATCGCCAGTACAAACCTGTGAGCTGGGAGTACTTGTTTTCTTCCACTAACATCATCGACGCTTTCTCGAACAAGAAATTTGACGTCACTACAGCGATGGTTGTTAAGCATAACCTTGGTTTTTTTTCTCATGGTTTTATATTTTTCTAATTTCATGAGAGACATGATTTGTTAAAAGTGGAATATACAGGTCAAATGTGTCTGACCTACTAACAAGGTCACTAAGAGGTCACCGTAAAACATTGCTTCAAACACCGGGCTGCCAATCGCCAGTACAAACCTGTGAGCTGGGAGTACTTGTTTTCTTCCACTAACATCATCGACGCTTTCTCGAACAAGAAATTTGACGTCACCACAGCGATGGTTGTTAAGCATAACCTTGATTTTTTCTCTCATGGTTTTATATTTTTCTAATTTCATGAGAGACATGATTTGTTAAAAGTGGAATATACAGGTCAAATGTGTCTGACCTACTAACAAGCAATACGTCTAAGAATTATTCTTGCGATTCAACGTGTTTCAAGACTTTACGGAAATGTGCATAATTTATTACCGATCACGTGCTTATCATATAATAAAAGCTCTCTAACTGAAAACCGACATTTACATTTTTAAAATAAACAGAGAAAACTATAACAGAAATAATGAATCCGAAAGTTTATATTTGAAAACTCTATCCAGCCTTTTCCAGCTAGCCTTCGATCTTAAAATTCGTGCAAGTGTATATAAAACGTGTTACTACATACAAAAATTGCTTTGTCATCGAGAAACGGCGATTTTTTTTCCGTCCGTGCTGAGACGAAACGCACAATATCGGAAAACACTTATAACCTGCGTAGTTGGCGGTATCAGTCACAATCCAAGCGTGTCTTTCTCCTTCCCCGAACTTTACAGCGAATAGCTTGGGATTTTAATGGGCTGATATACTTTGTTAGTGACCAATACTGACATTCAGATAAAATAATGTTGATTAAAAACATTCTTTTCTATTTCTTGTCACATTCGGAGTTAACGAACCATTAGCCCTAAAAAATGTTATGTATTACCCCAACTTTAATCAAAAAGAAAGAGATAACTAGCTATTTTTTATGTTATAAGTGCTGACTCTGATTGTTCGCTTACGAGAAGTTAACAGAAAAAGACTGACCAGCTGGTAATTCACAGGAATAGTAACCGTCGCTAACGCGGAGAGCTTTTGTAGAGCTACAGTTCAAACGAGGTTTTAAAACATTCGCAAGGTGAGCTTCGACTATAGTTTTAAAATTCTACTAGCTATAGTGTACAACTGTACAATTGAGTGTAATTCCCGGATTCTAATTGGTTAACGCACTCGCTTTTTGAGCGGGCTAATGTAGACAGACTTTCTAGAAGATGGTTTTGGTTGGGTGCCCCGGTTGGGTCCTTTGTAGACTTGCTTCAAGTCGACCTCACGAGTTTCTTAGCGAGGAGCTGCCAAGCGAAAGAAGAAGTCGCGAGAGGTTTTCATGCGCCATCATAGTTAAAGCGGACGAAGGTCTTGTTTGAAAGTCTAGGGGTGCTTACCATTTGACAAAAAAATCCGGTTGAGGTGTCGAAAGCATAATGGTAAGCGATTTCCCAGTTTACCGTAGAATTGCCACATCCGTTACGGTTTAAATCCAAAAAAAAGGGCGAATATTGTGTATCGTGAGTCTGGAACCGAGAAGGAACCGAGAAAGTAGTAAGTGGTAAGCACATTCCGTTTGGTTCGTACCAACCGGAATGAACGGACTACCTCAAAACGTACTCCTCAATTTTCGGTTGGAATTTCCGAAAAGTTACCTTACCACTTACCTTTCAACCGGAATTTCCGAAATTTGCTATCAAATGGTAAGCACCCTAGGTCCTTGCGAAAACGACTCTAGTTTACCTACCTCTCGCACGTTCCCGCTCGACCTCGTCTCTCAAAAAAGTCAACTTGTGAGCAAGTCTAAAAAACCAACAGACAGCAGCTCGAAATAAGGTTATGTTCACACTGTATACCGGACAGCTATTACGAAAACCATACCGCGCGAATAGCCAAGGGCTTCTGTTCACAAAGATTAAGAACGGTGATTTCGGCGCGATATCTTAAGTGGAGAGTCCCATATTGGCCGGGATAGGTGTTCATACCCTAAACGATAAAGCTATCGGTTACTAGTAAAATCCAACTAGTGGTCTATCATCAATACTGCGTTCTGATTGGTTGAGCTACTTCTAGACTATATGTTATAGCCCACTAGTAGCGAAAAGCGCCGGCTTTTTGGCGGCAAAAAAGGATTAAAGTCTAGCTTTATCTAGCCAACGTTGTTTTGTCTCGATATTTTTTGACCAACTAGTTGGATTTTACTAAAACAATTATTCCATTCGGGCTCGAGGAATAATTGTTAACTAGTGTAAGCCACATAGCCTAAAGCTACCAGACCATCTGACTGAAAACTGGAAACCATTCAAGGTTTCTTGCTGTTTGCTTGTTGGCTTCGTCATTCTAACTATTATTTTTTCTTTGTCATATCTAATTTTAATATCAAATTTATTTTAATTATTTTCTCAACATTAAACTCAAAAGATGTATCCTAATATACGTTTTATACATGTGTCAATCAATACGCACACTGAGCCTAGAGTTTACATGGAGTGAAAAGGTATGAAAAGTATACTGGCATATACATCAAGTTACATAGTCTAGGTTGTTCCTATGGTGTCTGTCGAGGAACCAAAAGATAGTCTCTTGGTCCGATTCAAATTACACTAAGAAGGTGATGTATCTAATTTAGGGTATTGCTTAAGACAATAATGCTGGAATAATCAACTATTCGTACAAAAATGAAACGCTTTCTATCAAAAGAGCTTCGATCCCATGTTTTAATGTTTAGAAATCGAGCCCAACCTATAGAGGAAGGCTGACTCTTGTCGATGCGAAACTGTTTCTTTAACTTTTTCTCTGTGTTACAAATCATTAAAGAGACCTTTAGACACATCAGCAGATATTTATATTTATCTAATTTCAGTTCGAAAATTGCTTCTTGTTCAGAGGTATATCAATGTCCATCATTGAAATTGCCTCATACGCATGTCTACTCGCTAAGGATAATTATTCACTGGCTAAAAGCCTGCTGCAAAGGATTTCTTTCTGGGATCCGCCTTGCCATATATTTTTCCATCAGGAGCTATAGCCGCGGCCTGTACAACTGCGGTGATGGTTTTTGCCTGAATGTCGTCGTGCCCAAGCCTTCGCAGTCCCGCTTGGAGGTCCTTGGATATTGGGTAGAATTTATCAATGCGAATGTAGTCCGGAAGTAACTGATGATGAACCCTGGGGTCCAAGACAGCTTCCGATAGATTTCGGCCGAACCAGAAATAATTCATTACAACCTGAACAGGTGGAAAGAAATGGCAAAATCATCAAATGAAATCATTGAATCTTCAGTTCAAAGGAAAATCAATTTACTCAGTTCACAGGTGTAATTTCAGCTACTGCTAAACGACTTGATGTGTCGGGTTTTTTTGTGGCCTACCAGAAGAAGATCTCCGAAAGAAGATTACATGCATCACCGAGACGTTGAACTTAAGGCTATAAGGCTACAGAGTACAAAGGAGCGAAGGGATACTTCATACCCCCGACGGGGGACTCCCTTAAAGGAACCTATACGGGGATGTGCCTCTGTACAGAGTATGGTTCTCTCTGTCCTCTCTGTCCTAAACAAGATATTTGGATGTATGAGGACGTCACAATCGAAGTACTATAGTCGGACATTAAACAATAGGCCGTTGATTAGAAACAATACTTATAAGATATTTTTTATAGATAAACTCCGCGTAAGTTCCTGGGGTGTCAAGAAAACAGTCAGTAGAAATCTCACCAATGAGATAGCAGTGGTGATTCGTGTGCCACCTGATGCTCCAACCGCCAAACGAGGAGCGCCGCTGCTATCCACAAATATTGAAGGGGTCATTGAAGACATTGGACGTTTCCCGGCTTTAATAAAGTTGCTCTCCGATGGCTCGACGCCAAAATTGTTCTTTTTACCAGGGGTAGAGAAGTCGTCCATCTCGTTGTTGTAGATAATACCAGTGCGAGTAGAACGATACTTACAACCATAGCTGCCGGATAGGCAAAATGAAATAAAAAATTAGTAAGTAACTAGTTACACAAAATTAAAACAAATACTCAGTTATTTCATTCACATCATATGTACAATATAGTAGGGGCACCACCTCACTAGGTGGGGTGGTCTGGGGGGAGAAGTGGAGGGGTGAGTCGATGAGAGGAAAAGTATCTGACATTGCCAGAACTGTTTTTATCACAATCATTATCATCATCATCATTATAATCGTCATCATCATCATCATCATCATCATCATCATCATCATCATCATCATCATCATTATCATTTTCATTATTAGTATTGATTGTGCACAGTGTCCTTGTTATAATTACGTACACGCTACTACATATTTAGTTTCTAATTGCTGTCTTAGACGGCATATGTGGTATCAAGTAGTAAACAATGAGCGCCATTGCAGAAAAGGACTACCAAGCAGCTTTCACACATTGCAAAACAAGGGACACCAGCTTTTCGCCAGTTCAGACTAGAAATCCTTCTATCGCATCCTTGACTTGTAGAGCATGATCGTTTACTCGATCAGCCAAACGAAAACAACTGTTGTTCAACAGCTTGAAAAGATTCGAAAACCAGCAAAGTAGAATGTCCTTGTGCAGTATGACAACAGTACCATGCACCAGGAGTTTGTTCTCTATCCGTTACGACACCGTCACAAGTCTGCCTGTAGGTCCTGTAAAGCTATCGACTTTCGATCCACAACCACTAGATCACAGGCACTTATGTGTGGTCGTCGTGCTGTCGTCAAGAAAAACCTCTTACACATAGACTGATAAGCTGAAACTCGGGAAAAGGGGGTAGGGAACTTAAGAAATTACTTGTGAAAGACAAAATCACGGCTTCGAGTAATACAAAGTCTCCGAAGCATTATATGAAATCATATCGAACGTCAGGGGTTATAAATCAGAACAGCAAAAAGTGAACTTTGACAAAACCTTAGGCTAACAAGTTTTTATAAAAATCGCAATTGTAATCCGTTTCAATCTCCTTCAAGTTTGCCTATCCGTGTCTCCCTGTGTATTTACAGTATTAAAAATACCTTTCTTTAATGGTTCGAGGGTTATTTTATTGTAATGTTTCACTCAATTTGCTGGCAGTTCCCAGTTCAGACTCACCGTTTGAATTTTAATACATTTCTTGACACAGCTCCTTTTAAGTAGTCTTCTACACAGCCGTTTTTAGTGTCGTCACGCAACGCTGCTCCGCACCTCCTCCCGGGGAAGAGCGTTGCGTGACGACCCTAAAAACGGCTGTGTAGCAGACTACCTTTTAAGGGGAGTTCTCAGTTTGCTATCTGGATATTTTGTAAGAATAACAAACCTACTTACTAAAGGTTTATGGTATTGGTAGCAGCAACAGCATCCCCGTCAGGCGAAATGATGGAAAGATGTGAAGTACCTCCAACATTTGTACTGGAGTAAAAATCTCCGTAATATCTGTAGTCCTGAAAGGTTCGGTTATCATAAATCTTGTGGCGAAGATAATCTCCATACTCACCACTGGTCATATTTTTCACGACCTGGTAAAAGAAAGACGTAGATCACATCGTAAGGATTGATGCCAGCAAAAGTTCACTGCAGGTGGGCATGCAGGAGGAATTTATGGTAAAGTGGCTGAGTCACGAGGGTATTGCTGTTCTAGATCAATTCTTTCCTGACTGATCCTGACTTGTCATTACTTAGTGCCTTCACTGGCAATACACAAATGCTTTTGTATATAGAGTAATGAAGATGCTATCAAACAATTTCATCAGGGAGCACTAACCATAATCATTTTAAGTATAACAAAACTAGACCCTTATTTTTGGAATTCAATTGATGAAAGGACGCGTACGTTCTAGCGTTTTAAAAAAGAAAGAAAATAGCGTGACAAAGCCACGTTCAAACTGGCACACTACCATTCTTATAATTACAATACCAAATTATTCACTGAACCGGCACACGTACCAACTCCGCGGTTTACTCCGCGGTATGGCCAGTACCTTGCGCGTGCGCACAACCATATCACCCCGGCAGTGGCAGCCATGGAGGAGTTGGTACGTGTGCTTCAGTGCATAAATTGGTATTCTTATAATTACACTTCATTACGCATTTTGTTTCTAATTGCTGTCATAAAATGCACTGTATATGTGGCATTTTACTCGTGAAGGATACAGCTTTGAAATGTTCGTCTCATTTAATTGTATAAAAGAGATAAATTAATCTTGTCTAGAGTTCGTTAATTGTAGAAATATGGACGCTTTTGTAAGCTTCAAATTTACTTCTCTCTTATATCCTTTTTTCGCCAGATCTGCTCTATGATATACTCCGTACGTTACTTAACCAGCTCTTCAGCGCAGATAATGCATTTCAAGAGGAGCTTTCTTTACTTTCCCTAATGACGCTCCAAAACCGTACTGAGTAATTAACCGTTGCTGCACTTTTGCGAAGAAGTCTATGGTTATGTTTATACGGCATTAGACGAGTTTTCGACCAGTTGAAAACATTGACAAGTCACATGGGCTATAAGAAACATGTGTTTCGACTAAATAAAGCCGGTTAAATTTTTGTTTAATAAGGTTGAATTATTGACATTGAAGTAGTTCATTGAAACTTTGGACGGCTAGGCGACAAAATTTTCGTGTTCCTTGTCTAAACTGAACATCTAAACGCACAAATTTTCAACCGGCCAAAAAATCCTCCGTTGCCTTATGAAGGCAGCCTATATTACCCTCTCACCTCTCTCACGTCCCTGTAGTCTTCATCTCCTAGGAGTGCTCTGTACGCATAAGCAAACTTGAAGGCCTCTATTATTCGATGGTACGTCAGAATCGAGCTATTGAGATCTTTGCGGCTATCTTGTGTAAAATTATAACCTGTATATAACGTTAGAGACGGGTTGTCTTGTATAAGGTTCACGTTTATTAGTAAGTAGGGTGAGTGCGTTTCCTTTCAGTGTGCGACTGAATATGTTATTCAGGTTCAAAATGACCCAAAAACAAACAAGGAAACTGAAAATTAAACAGGGGCAAAATTGAATCGCAACGAGGAAACTTTAAACAGACGAAACAAGCCGGTCTGCTCTGTGGGAAGTTCCTTCAGCTCCAATGCATTCAAGGGAATCTGATTCCAAAAATAGTTAAGTTCTAGAGAAAATCACATTGGAGACGGTCATATGTAGTTTCCCTTCTATCGCAGGAGCTTCTTTAGGCGGAATTGCAGTCTCTATGGCCAGTGGAGACCAGTTTGGATCACGCGATCAATCTCCATTATCCACTATTGCTTCTATTACGTGTAAAACACGCTCTCGGCTTATTGTCCAATATACGAGAGATAAATGCTTGACGCCCTTTTCGTATGCGCACCAAAATCAAGTCAAAGAAACACGCCATGTCTGCGATCGCTAAAATAAAATGAGAACATTTGTCTGTGGCGTTTAAGATCGTCTGGCTTACGCCCGACTCAAACAACTTCAGATAGGGTCGCAACAATCCCAGACCGTTACAAATTTTATAAGGACCATGTTTTACTTGTGAACATAAGTTATTTAACAATTAATGAATGAGGCTGAGTATCTTATGAAGAATTATGGAGGTCGAGGAGGGTGTTATCCGTCGAGGCCGTAGGCCGAGGCTGATAACACCCTCCGAGATCTCCATAATTCTTCATATAATACGAAAGACCAGCGAAAGACAAATTCAATAATTGTTTTATTATTCATTCAAAATAATTCCTAGTTGGAAAACAAAGCGAAAACATGCTTACCTCCATCGATGTTAAGTTCACCTACGGTAGGACACGTTTAGGGTTGTTCAGCTCCGCAAATATTCTCCAAATAGCAGATGTCGCCTTTGAGTTGCGTTCTTGCTGTTCTTGCCATGTTTTTAGCTATAATTTCCGCGTAGTTCTTACTCTTGAAACGAGTGAAATGTCCGCCAGTTTTTGTTGTCACAAGGAAAACAACTCAACCTCGTCCCCAGGTCTTCTCGGTTAACGGCGCATTAACCTGTAGAAGGCTGCATTTTTGACGTCATTTCCTCGTTAAACACAAAATTCTTCCAAATTTGGTCATCAGTAACTGGTTATGGTGAATTATGCGTGTGCTTTTAGCCAATCCGAATCGGGGAAATATTTTGAATGAATAATAAGATTGATTAATAGTTGCCTTGAATACCATTCGACGAATAATAATGAACAGTTGCCCACCCAAACAATCCCAGAAGTCATTGTTCCATCTAATGGCCATAATGCGTGACTAATCTACGTCACTTCTATAGTTTTAATTCACAAAGGTTGTCCATGCACGTAAATTGGTCAGCACACTATAATCACAGCTTATTAAACTAATGAATTTCATTCTATGTAAAGAAAAAACAAAGAAAACAGTTGTCCATATATATAACCAAGAGACTATAAAGGGGACAGAGAGGGCATCCCCCACATACACCCTATTCCATAGGTAATTCGTCTCGAGTTATTTTTAGAATCGGGGTAAAGTTACCTCGCGCGAGGCGTGGATGTTTCGTGGAGGTTTCGCATGACCAAACGCCGTGCAAAACATGTCGGGCGAGAGGCAATGAAAGCGTAAAAAAATCAAGAGCATTCCTGAATATTGAAGCGAAATGAGTCGGCGCTCACCTGGGAAAAAGGAATCGCTGGACTCTTTGACAACCCGTGAAATCAGTTTAACTCGAAGTTGTCGTAACCTCAGTGCTTTAATAAAATGAGAAATTTCGCCGGTCTATTGAAACCGGTCGTTTGTACAATTTAGGGAGTTTAAGATCCAACGACGAGGACGACAACTAGAACGTCAAAAAAACAATAGGTTTAATTAGCTAAACAACAACTTCGCACGTGCAACACCCTTTTTTGTTCATTTCTTTCCCGGTTTTGCACGACTACGACGTGAAAATGCCTAATTTCGCGTTTTATGGAGGATGTAAATAAGCAACGACGAAATTTTATTTCTCTTTCTGAGCTTGAATATGGTCCCTTGAAATTCAGCTTTAGGAGGGTTCGCCTACAATTGACAAAGTAAGTGGGTAGGAATAATCGCTATAAAGACTGAAAAAAATAAACATCAAACCAGAAATTGCTCTCTTCAAACTGTAAATTATAAATGATCCTGAGAGAATATTCAGTGTGTTAAGGATTTCCCTGCTCTACTGTTAGCTCTATACAAGAGAGGAAGGGCGATTCTTTTTTAATTTCCGTTTCGCTGACACAGCTTTCGCAGAAATCTCGCTGTAGTCGTTTTCGTCGACAAAAGGAATAGCAAAATCGCTCTCCGCGTCTTCCCCTATTTTGTTCTGCGTCATTTCGTGAAGGACGTGTGGCTCTCAGTGTGGGTCATCCACGCGGAACACATTCGCGCTATGTGATTGGCTGTAGTCTAATCCCCCTTGAGATCTGTGGTGTTAAAAATAACTCGAGACGAATTACCTGTGGAATAGGGTGTATATGGGGGATGCCCTCTCTGTCCCCTTTATAGTCTCTTGATATAACTCGTGTACTGACAAAATAATATAGAATTTACCTTTTAGTATGTTGAGGATCATCGAAAGCACGGCACCGCTACCAGGGGGTTGGTTAGTATACCACTTTAAATCTCCCATGGTATCAGAAAGCGGAGTTCGAACTTTGGCTGTGTAATTTTTCATGTCCTCTAGTGTGATTATTCCACCACCGTCTTGAATATCTTTCACAATACTTTTAGCCAATTCACCAGAATAGAAGCTATCCGGGTAATCGCGAATTGTCTCCAGAGTTCTTGCATATTTCGGCATTTTTAGAACAGTTCCTAATTTCTTCAAGTTACCCGCTTTGTCTATAAGAAGCTCACTGGAAAGTAATTAATGATCAGTCAATTTTTTTTAGCAAAAGCTGTTCGTCAACTTAACAAGTAAATTCCATTTTTGCGCCTCTCTCAAGGATGTTGCCCAGACCGAGCTGGTCACTTTGTTCTTGACACAACTGATCTACATGTAGTTGACTTCTTCCGTCCCTCTGGAGTGTTCTGGATATTTTTGTTTTCTTTTTAATCCGTTCGTTTGTTCATTCATTTATTCATTCATTCATTCATTCATTCACTCACTCACTCACTCACTCACTCACTCACTCACTCGTTCGTTCGTTCGTTCGTTCGTTCGTTCGTTCGTTCGTTCGTTCGTTCGTTCGTTCGTTCTTTCTATCATTCATTCATTCATTCATTCATTACATGTAAGTATTTATTTTCAGTTTGCCAAATATATATATGTTGCTGTTAAATTTTTTATTTCAGTCTTTTTTTTCAATTTAATTGAAAACCAAAGAAAAACAAAAATTACCTGAAATAAAAACTTAACTGCAACATATACATAAACCGACTGCTTCGTTACGTTTGATCAACAGCAAAAGAGAATGAGCTGTCATGTACTTTGAACGCAGAATTTAGTTTCCGATCTGTTTACGGATGACGGGGGAAAGGTGCGGGGGGTGTCCTGGATACTTAACACTCAATTCAAGTCCTTCATCGTGAAAATCTAGCCTGCGGGTGGTTCCTTTCAGTCAGTGAACTTTGATCGATTTGCTCTTCCTTCCTAGGAAGATATAAGCAATCTAAAAAAAGGAATCTTATTAGTTTTTATGTATTCAAATACTGAAAGTATTCAGTTTATAGCAAGGTCAAAATACTCCTCAAAAATTCTTCACGTACTATCGACACTGAAATCAAAGCAGAGGAACAACACGGAAATAATGGTTCGAGTGTGGAAACAAGTTAGATAGCCGCTGCTTTACCTCAATCCGGGGTCTTTCTTTATATAGGGTAAGGTAGATGACCTATTAGCTGCTGCATGGGCTGCATAGCCGAAACGAAACCCTTTTTTCGCTAGGTCAATAGCGGGTTGTACAAGATCCTTCCAAGGTAATCTACCATATTTATTCCAAGCTTTACGAAATCCTCTCACTTCACCAGGGACACCTGACGCTGATGGTCCTGTACCAACGACGGGGGAAGAAACAATGCCGGTAAGAATCAATGATGACTCAATAATGTCACAATCATGTAAGAATAGTGGGCGAATAATGTGACCATAATGTAGCAAAGTACATGTAAATAATTATGAGGCGGCTGGGGGCAACTTCATGTCAGACTGACTACACTCTTTTTTTTTATAAAAATATATTTTATAAGAATATCGAGGCTGAAATTTGCGAAATTTTAAGAATATTTTAAGAATAAAGCCAAGGCTGAGATTTTGAAAAGGATAGATATAATTTTGTGTGTTGAAACATCTGTAAATACAATACAATTTTATGTTTTTAACTTAACCGCATAAAATTTTTCCTTTCTCTGAACGGCGAAACTAGCCAACAAAACGAAAAAACCTGCACTAGCTATAGCAAAATGTTCAACGCTAATGACAGTTCGATGAACGGTACATGTAATACATATACATATACCCCAATAAATTCTAAAACGGAAATGTCATAAGCTATAATTTAAGAATGATACAAGAACATTTTCAGCCTAAAATCAGCAGAAAAATAAGAATATTCAACCTGGGCCGGAAAAACAACATTCTTATAAAAAAAAAGAGTGTAGCCCGCTAAGCCGGGGATTAGCACTAACTACCTCCGGGCTGTGCACTTTTGGGAAACTTCAATTAAGGAAAGATAAAGATTATTATCATTTGATGCAAATGTTTCTCCCTTCTCATTGGTAGGGAACCGACCACGTTACCTGAAAATAACTGCCTGCTAAAAATAATGGTCTGCTCATACGCAATGTCGCCCAACCGTGTTTGGCTGCAAGGCAAATAGCTACGTTTCCCGAAAATATTCAATAAAAAACAAACCCGGTGATCGCAAAATATCGTAATTTGTCAGTGTCTGGCAGATTAATTAATCATTCTTTGCCTCAGCCTTCGACTTAAGCAAATAATTGATCTGCTCGCTTCTGACAAATCACGATGTCTTGCTTAACCTCGTCCAATAATTGTGAACTGTTGTTGTATTGTTTTTTTGTGCGTGTGAATAGTTACACTGAATGCAAATAAATAATGATGAGCATTTAACCTGACAACGTTAACTGAGACAATAAGGTGAGAAAAGTATGTGGATTACATAATAAGGCTTAACCATCTGGAAAAGAACGTGAAAAAGGCAAGACCGCGCTTCGAGCCATGACATTTGCGTTGAGATGACCCAGCGACACGTTCCATCAAGTTATCCACGACTAGCTAGCAAAGCAAAAACAGTCAATTGTCAAGGACATTCGGAATCGCTGGAGCCAAACAAAATGCGCGAAAATTGCTATCCACTGATTTGGCCAATACTAAATGAAAAATAATCAAAATAATTGTGACATGCGGATGTAAAACATGGATGTAATCCTCTCAGTTATATAGGGTGACAGGATGTAGCAACAAGAAAACTGATCGTTTGGACTCTTCGATCGGTTACGTTCACTTAGCAAGGCTGTCGGTCTCATTTTAGCTTGTACCTGGTATGTGTCAACTCCGATATAACACGTAATACTATATTCGTAGCATTGCGCTGCTAAAGCCGAAAAAAATAACTAGAGATAAAGAGATAAAAAATCAAGAGAGAATGCATCAAATGCACGTCAGTAATTGTGAATCTTACCATATTTGGAATTAAGGGTGCTATTTATATACATAGTAGAGTTTGCTTTTCCAGGTGCCTCTTCTCTATAGTCAATCACTTCCGCCTTGTTCGTGCTTCGATTGTAGATCGTCATAAATCCGCCGCCTCCGATACCAGCCGAGTGCATATTGATGACGCCTATACAAAATAATGTAGCAATGGCAGAGTCGACCGCTGACCCCTTCTTCTTGAGAATATCTCGGCCCACCTCAGAACACAAACTTGCATCAGCTGCAACAACCCCGTGGTCATAAGGGCCGTCTGCTCCGGCAGGAACTAAGGGAATTCAAGATACAATTAATGGAATAGCGATGTATGGGGCTAATCCTTTGTGGTGTATTGTATAAATGAGCAATAGATCTTTTTCAATAGTAAGTCACGTGATCAACTTTCTGTAAACACGAAAACAGTTCGCTTTCGGAAAATTATTTTAGCACGAACTACTAACATAACCTTTTTTTTTAACAAACCGGTGTGTTTACCAGCTTACCTTCAGTGGGTAGGGGCGGTGGGACATATTCTGTGGGCGTGGGGGTTACAGTAGTGGGTTTGGCTTCTTTGTCCTTGGCTAACACCAAGATCAGAACGACACAAAGAATGATGATTGCAACCACAACAGCCACGATCACAGTAATTATTTTGCACCTAGTAGAACTGAAATGAAAAAAAAGAAAATGTTCCCTTCATTTAATAGGACTACAAAAACACTCGGACTTTACCTGGATTAGCTTAGCCCCGATTTCTGTCAGTGGGTCCGCTGTAGCCTGCGTAGCTGATGGGAGTGGAAGAGTGTTGTAGTTGTATTTAACAGCAGAGACGCGAGAAGCGGATTGGGAGGAGACAAATTGAGATGTTCTCTCCTGTGTCGCCGCCAAGGAAGTACCTTGGGCATTAAAACCCCTTCAGTTGCGTTGGCTAGTGTGTCTCCGAAGATGAAAATAAAAGAATATGCGCGATTTGAGTACTAAGGGGAGAAAAAAAAACGTGGGGCCGGGAAATATCTTGAAACGTTCAACAAGTAACGGTAACGGCCAGACTTTCATTCTGTCAGGTTGCAAAATCACATGTCTAGGCAACCTGTGCAAATCGGCCGAGTGTTATTAATTTTTGTCCCACTGGGCGCTGAACAGTCAACTCATTGTGTATGGATTCCACTTTAAAATAGGCTGACTCGCTGTCTTCTGGAGTTTCATCAACTACTATTCGTTTGTTTACAGAAAAGCTTCGAATCCGTTCTTTCAGCCTTAAATTTCCACCTCCCCAAGGCCGAGGATTCGAAATGGCCCACTTATCAAATTAACAACCAAATAAAACATTTCATAGATAGCCTGGGAGCAAGATCTTATGGGTTGTAAGTGGGGAAGGGAGGGAGGGAAGGAAAAGATAGTTTTTGCCTTATTCCCCCACCTTTCTCCGGCCGAGAGCTAGAAGGCTACAACATATACTATATAAGAAAGGTTAGCTTTATATAAAGAGCTGTACGTTATTCTAGTTTGTCAAATTTTCATTCCCATTCTGTCACCTTTTCTACGGCTTTGCTGTTGGGATCAATGTTCAGTCTAGCTTTTGTAAATTAATTCAGTTTACTCACAGCGTTTTCTAAATACAAGATTTTGCACAAATCCGCCTTTCTGTATTCCCTTGCGGCGGTTCACAGACGATTTACAGAAAGGCTGGGCTTTCTGTTCAGAGTGGTCAAAGGAGAGAAATCCTCAAAAAGACTGGTACTTCAATAACAGAGTTTGTTACTTTTACTGTTAAAAGTTTTGTATATAACTGTGAATTTCCTTTAATTTACTAAACCTATATATTTACTTACAATCTGCTGCGTTTATCAAACTCTATATCCACGGGTTGTTCATCTGAAGACAGTTTATTTAGTACTCTGAAGATGTGAAAAAGGAAGAGGATACACTAGTTTCCAGTTAATTCTCGACAAATTCCGTTTGTATGTTTGTTTGTTTAATTGTTTTTCTAACAAAGGAATTCACCTGTCGGTTTTCTTGTCGTAGTGGCAGGTGATACTTCCTCATCCTAAACTTATTTAGCAAGATTCTTGCTACGGGGTCTTGTTCATGACACTTTTATTGGCCAAAATTTCAACAGACATCACTAATGTTGCGAGCCACCTGCACAGAGTAAGATCCCGGGGGGGGGCTTTAGGAAATTCTGGGTGGGGATGTGCCGCTGGGACCCTGGAACCCTTGACCTATACCAGAGCTAGTTCAGCTGAATTTTGCTACCCTATACTAGAGTAAACTCCCAAAATCCCCCTATCCTAGAGCAGCTGTTCCCTAGTCTAGATAAAATCTTCAACCAACTGATCAGTTTCCTGAAAAATGATACCCTATTCTAGACCCAAACGCCCTGATTTATATACCCTATCCTAGAGTAAACTGCTTGAAAACCATACCCTTCACAGCGGCACATACCCATATAGCCCATATATGGCAGTACCCCCCCCCGGGAGTAAGATTCACAACTGGTTCTTTATGAAATGAGCTTTGCCAGGCAATCTATCGAAATTCAAACGGCGTGGACTGTCACCAAATTAAGATAAACTTTAAAACAACCGTTCAAAACTTTAAAAGAAGATATCAGTAGACAAACCAACAAATACAAAAGGAGGAATGGATGAACAAAACAGAGAACTAGAAAAAAAGGGATTGCAATTGTGGTAACTGAAAACGTTTTAGGCTAGCAGTTTTTCAAAGTTCATTTTTGTTTGAAATGATAGATAATGCTTCGGAGACATTACTTCTTTAACGTGAAGCTGTGATTTCGAAATTTGCAAGTAATGACTTTGCTAACGTTTGGTTCCATTGCGATTAAGAACGTGTAATTGGTAATAAAAAAAAAAAAAAAAAAAAAAAACTGAACTAGACAGCCGTTTCACAGCCTCCTAATTAAATATAAAGTTTCCAATTCAGTTATAATTCAAAACATGTTTTTTTTATTAAAGACAACAAGGGCTCGCTGTCTGGGAAGGTACACGACAACGGATGTATCACCTCCCCTTCTTACTCTGTCCCTTCTCAATTCTTCTAGGTAAAATTTGGCTCAATTTTACAGTATCATTGGTTTAAATAAGCTGAATGGGACATTTGACACATTAACTGTTGTCGATACGCCTAATTTCTAATAAAATTATCGTCTTTATTCGTGGAATTACGTTGAAATATGGAGTTTTGATTTTCTCAAATTAAGAACAAAATCCTCTCCTAACAATGAAAACTACTGATCACAGACACACTAACATTTACCATTTTACTGACTCAGTACACGCAAATGAATGGGATGTGAGTCTCCAAAGTTTTCTCTTGTTTTATGTTTTTTTCGTTTTTAAGATCAGAAATGCTAAGAGAGAGGCTTTACTATGACAAATTACAAGTTTTTCGCAAGTCACACAAACTTCAGACAAGGTATGTAGTAACAGCATCACCACCTCGGTACCTGCAAGTGAATATTTCAAAATGCACCAAATTTTCACCACTTCATAAACTACAAGAGAGAGAGTCAGGCTTTTGTCACATAGATTTATAGGATCACGTTATGGACAATATAAATTAAACAGCGATTGTTTCATGATTGCCTTTGGATACTATCGGCAAATCATAAATAAACATTTTCCACCCATCGATCCCAGAAATCCTTGCGACAGCTTGTACGTATTCTTCCCATAGTTTATTTCGGAAGTGGCGAGGCACTGATTTCTAATAATACACTTTGTTTGGCCTCCTCCGGTCCCACCTCCATTTTAGGCCATGACAAGGTATCCCGACAACCTTCAGGATAAGGGAAAGAGCTAATAATAAGAGGAAGCTATAATTAAAAAAAAATATATTAAGCAAATTTAAGCTTCTTACTTCTGTTTTTCTGCTTCCCCAAGCTCCATTGTTCAATATCTAAAAAATTAACAATAACAACAGGTGAAGGTAAGGAATGTATTAAACATCAGAGACCGACGAGAACGAGAACGCCGATCAAAAGAGGCTTATATAGGTTTATTAAATAAGCAAGTTAATAAAAACTAACAACTCTGCTCGTCAATGCATCACCCTTTTCTCAATTTCGTTGTCGTTCGTGCACCACTACGAAGCGAAATTACCAAATTTTAAGGTTATTATCTATTTCCGAATCCCCCATAATACTCTGTTTGTCACCCCCCCTCCCCCCCACCCAACCGTCCAAAAAATTGCATAAACCATCGTTTTCAAATGCGTCTGAGAGGATTGTATATTCCCAAAAGTTATTTTGAAAAAAACAAAAAGCAATAGTTTGGGGGCCAAACAGAGTGTATTATTGAAAAATCGAACGATCATGAACGGGTCCTAGAAACTGGTAACAAGTAACGCTCTTGATTCTAAAAACGGCGGAGAAGACTCGCATAGCGGAAAACCAAAAACAAAAAAAGAAATTCACCGGTTCGTTTTGCTTTATGTGACATAGCCTGCGAGCAAGCTGTCCTTTTTGGGCGAATGAAGCGAGTCTCGCGAGAACGCAGGAACGAGCGGCAAAGCCGCGAGGGGCCCTCGCTCGCGCGTTCTCGCGTGGCTCACTTCGCTTGCCCAAATAGGAGAGCTTGCTCGCACGCTATACCGTAAAATTCCAAGTACAAGCCCCCCGGGGGGCTTATATTCAGAGGGGCGATTTAACTAAGGGTTTTTTTGCGTTAAGGCCGATACACACGAGGGGTTTTGCTCCCGGAGCATGCTCCAGGGGCACGCTCCGGGAGCAAAGCTCCTCCGTGTGTACCAACGATTTCATGGGTATACTTCATCCTCGGGAGCAGAATTTCCACCCCGCAAAATACTCCACGATATTTAACCGGTTAAATACTTGGGAGCAAGCTCCCGGGGCAAATAACGCTCCCTCGTGTGTACTGACACGTGCAAAATGATCCTGGAGCATGCTCCGGGAGCAAAACCCCTCGTGTGTGTCGGCCTTTACGATTTTGGGGGGCTTATATTTGGAGGGGCTTATACATGGAGGGGCTTATTTTCGGAATTTTACTCTATATTACATAAGAACGCTGAATACAAAGTCCGTTTTTCAATACAAGAAAGAAAAAAGGAAAGAGAAAATTCACATTTCTTTTCTAGTAGCACAGGAAAAAGATTTACGAATTGAATTCTGAATAATTCTTCACCCATTTGCGCATAAACAACAGTCGAGAGGTTCAATGCTCTAATGTTTAGAGACCTTGAGACAAGAATTATTCATACAATTGTTAAGACACCAAGGTCAAGGAATGAGTATTCACAGTATTAATTCAGTCACTATATGTAATGGAATCTTGAGGGGCCTGGTACGCTTGACCTTTGCTTGACTGAAAAGCGGCGCTATCACTTCTCAGCTTAGCCTGGGAGAGCATCTGGTTTTTTCAGCTCAAGTTTCTAGTTTCACCTACCTTGGGTGCCAGAGACTTTTCATGCGCGGTTTCCAAAGCTCCTCGTCGCACGCGAGAAAAAACCTCTAGTACCCAGGGTAAGTTTCACGGAAGTCCTTAGATAACAACGACCGAAACCTGGTTGAGCCTGCGATACGAAAAATGTCATGCGGTCTTGCCCATTGTTTTGTACCAAAATGGCGGGCTTGATGTCGGCCACGGAGAAGGTTTTGTGGGGCTAAGAATGCCGTTTTTCTTCCAGAGTTT